ACTGCAAGGCCCTGAGTTCAAACCCCAGTACTCCAAAAAAGAAAAAGAAAAAGAAGGGAAATAAAGTAAAATTTCTAAGTTAATAAAATAGCTGTTTTTCTTCTTTTCTTTACTTTTTTTGGTTTTGTTTGCTTTTTTTTTTTTGAGACAAAGTCTTACCACGTAGCTCAGGCTGGCCTTGAACTTTCATCCTCCTGCCTCAGCCTCCAGAGTGCTGGAATTATAGCTGTGTACCACTGCACCTTTTTTGGGGTACTAGAGTTTGAACCCAGGGCCTCACGCTTGCTAAGCTGGTGCTCTACAACTCAAGGCATTCTGCTAGCCCTGTTTTGTATTGGGTTTTTTCGAGATAGAGGCTCAAGAACTATTTGCCCTGGCTGGCTTCAAACCAAAATCTTGATCTCTGCCTCCCGAGTAGCTAGGATTACAGGCGTAATTAACAGGCTCTGATCATTTTTTTTTAATATTTTTGCAGTGCTGGGGTTTGAACTCAGGCCCTACACCTTGAGCCACTCCACCAGCCCTTTTTTGTGATGGCGTTTTTTGAGATTGGGTCTTGCAAACTATTTGCCTGGACTAGCTTTGAATCGTGATCCTCCTGATCTCTACCTCCTGAAAGCTAGGAATACAGGCACCAGCCAATGGCACCTGGCCCAATCATTATTTTTAAAGGACATGAAAAAGTCTCACTTTGCATTCTTAACTCTCTCATAAGATCCAAAGACCTTACCTGAGCCCTACTTGATCTGCACCTCCCTGCCCCCACCTCTTATGCGCTCCTGTCCCCTCAGAACTCCAGGCATGCTAAAGATACTTCCTCCTCAGGAGCTTGGCTCTTGCTGTGCTCTCTATGGGATGCTCTTTCCCCAGCAGCCAGCTGGTGCACTCTCTCACTTCCTTCAGGTCTCTGCTCAAGAGCCATCCTGGGCTTTCTTTCCAGGCTCACACAACATAAAAGAGCCCTCCCCCGTTACTCTCCATCTCTTTATCCAACTGCACGTTTCTCCACAGCATTTCTCACTTGTCATGATACAGTGCGCGCACACACACACACACACACACACACACACACACACACACACACAGTTATTCCTCCATATCTGTGAGTTCCATAGGCAGGGATTCAATCAACTGTGCACTGAATTTGCCTTGCAACAAGCACATGTTGAGTCCACACAAATGAAGCAATGTGTAAGCATCCCCTGTGTAACCTCCCACCATTTCAAAGATCCTCATCTCTCTCCAGCATCCATGGTGTGAGCAATTCCTGAATACGGTTTGTAGACAATGTACACTTTTCTTCTTGTCACTATTCCTTAAGCAACACAGTAGCACAACTATTTTCATAGTACATACATTGTACTATAAGTGATTGTATTATAAGTGATCTAGAGATGAATTAAAGTATACAGAAAATGTGCAAAGCTTATATGTAAATACTACACTATTTTGTATAAGGATTCAAGCATCTGTGGGTTTTGGTATTCAAAGGAGACCTAGAACCAATTCCCCAAGGACACTGAGGGACAACTACATACATATATCATATATGTATTTGTAATATAAAATGTAACTTTTTTTTTTTTTTGGGAGGTACTGGGGTTTGACCTCAGGGCCTCAGGCTTGCTAGGCAGATGCTCTACCACTTGAATCACTCCACCAGCCCTGTTTTTATATTGAGTATTTTCAATATAGGGTCTCAAGAACTATTTGCCCAGACTGGCCTTGAACCTTGATCCTCCTGATCTCTGCCTCCTCAGTGACTAAGATTACAGGTGTCAGCCACTGGCACTTGGCAAAATGTAAACATTTTTTAGAGCGCCTGCCTAGCAAGTGTGAGGCCCTAAGTTCAAACCCAGTACCACCAAGAAAAAAAAAATTTAAGTTTTTTGAGGACAAGCCTTTTATCTCATCCACGGCTATAGTCTTAGCACCCAGGTACACTGGACCCAGCTCACTTCTGAATTCCACAAATATGTGCCATATTAATTTGTTGATTAATCATTACTTATTGATCTTTTTCCCTCAAATTCCATCTAGAATTTACTGGGAAGAAAATACTTCATTCAAATGCTCTGTAGCTGCATAAGTTGAAATCTTAAGTCAACGCTGACCTCTTTAGAATTGATTCTTTTTTCAAACTGACAGTTAACTTTATACCTCACGTACAGAGCAAAAAGAACACTGTAATTCACAGGCAGGAAAGCATAACCGCCATGAGACAGTCCCCAAGTCATAACCTCCTCATCTCTTTCTAAAATGACAGACATAATCTCTAAGGTCCCTCCATGCTCTAAAATTCTGTGACTCAACCGCAGTCTTATGCACTAAGGCTGCCAGTCATAAATTATCCCACCTAGTTTGCACTTATCCCTCACAATCCAGAATTGTTAACTGAAGGAGCCTATAGAATTATAAAACCCTATAACGAACAGCCATTACTCACCCAGATGTCTACTGGGAGCAGAGGCTTAGAAGAGTGAACTGCACACGAGTGGAACAAATAGTCCTTTTAAAAGTCTTCCTCAATGGTTGGGGTGGGGAGGGGGCTGAGAGGGAGAGATGATGGGGGAAATGTAAATAATATACAATATAAGTCTGATTGGAACTGTCACTCCAAGTCCCCCCCCATATAATGAATATATCCTAATAAAAAATTTTAAAATAAAAATAAAAATCTTCCTCAAATATTGAAAAGAACAGAAAGGAAATAAAAATACTTGTTAGGGCTGGGGCATGGCTCATGTGGTAGAGCATCTGCCTAGCAAGTGTGAGGCCCTTGTCAGTTATAGAATTTAAAATGATTACATATATAAGACTGGGAGTATAGATCAGTGTGTGCTGAGCATATGAAAGGCCCTGGGTTTGATTCCCCTGCATGGCAAAAAAATACAAAGTTCACACATACATGGACACAGTGAAGTATTATGACTAAGAGCCAATGATTTGAGATAAACATAAATGGGCTAATTTCCAGGCTCTTTATGTGATCTTGCCTACCTGCTCTGCATTTTACTTGCCTTATCTGTACAATGGGTACAACACACACAATTATTACATTGAGTAACAAGATTTAGGTCCTAGAATCTTTTGAGAATTTACTAAGATAATACCTGACCCATGGGATACAGTTAATCAATATTATTAAGTAATTGAGTGTGAATACACCCATGCAGTCTAATAGCCACCAAAACAGTCTTGGCTATTTCTCCTGACACTATGTAGCCTGTGTAGCATGTGGAAAGAAATGACAGACATTCCTCAGTAGTGTGAATCATAAATGCTTATCACACATACACATGTTGGTGTCTGAGAGGTAAGACCATAAATTTAAAAAAAAATTTTTTTGTTTAAATCTACCAGTCCAGAGAGTTTTTCTTTTAAAATACTTCTTCAGTGGAAATAGCTGGCAAATTCAGTCAGTTACATATACAGTAAACATTTTAGGAAAGCCAACTTAATAGTTCGTGTATTTTAACTAAGCTCCTCTTTCAGACCTAAAAATTACATACATATACCATTTTTGGTTCTATGAACTTAGTCTCCAAGGGACAAAAAGCCACCTTTCACATACAACAAACAGGGCCAATTAAATCAAAATATTCCACATGACAGCATCATACCCTGTGGGTTTTCAGGCGGGTATGAAACACCCTGATTTTTATTGACTAGGCCCAAAGAAGACGTAATACAATTATGATTCGTGGCCAGATTGTAAAATAAGTCAATTAAGAGTTCAAATCGGAAATGCTGAGGCAACCCCAAAACCAGACACAAAAATACAGCGGTCCGGATTCGCATCTCAAGCACGTCCAGTGTCGTCGCCAACGCACTAGGATCATTGCCGTCTCCAGAAACGCCCAGTAGTGGGTTTTAATACATTTCTATAAATGTTCGTCGTGCTGAAAGTCAAGAGATAACAAGAAACCGCAAAACACAAAAGATTCCTCGCATTCCGTCTACAGTCAGAAGAAAGGCCCTGGCCCGGAGAGCCCTCCTGGCGACAATAAGAATCTCATGACACTCGGTGCTACCTACACACCAAAATGTCACCCCATCGGAGCGCAGGGGAAGCAGGGTCAGCATCCGCCGCCTGGATGAGGGGCCAGTTTCCACCACCTCTGGGCAAACACAGAACCGAGGCAAGTCGGTGGCAAGTTCCCCCAGCATATTTGGTTTCCATCTGTCCCCAACCCCAGAAGCACAAGTGCTGAGATTTGCTTGTGCACCTGCCACTGCTTCTAAGCCTGGCCTTCTCGGCGACCCGGGAACACACAGAAAGGTCCTGTGGCCTAAAGCGCCGGGAACCCTTGGCGCAGGGCGCATCCCTCTCGCGGTCCACACCGCCAGCTTCCCCGACAAAGGCCTCCTGTCAATCCGAGGCACGACACCGACGACAAGTTGCTGGATTGCCTAGTGAAAACCACCAGCTGCCACCACCCTTTCTGAAAACACACTCACACATACACACGCAAAAAAAAAAAAAAAAAAACTCAACACAGAACTGGAGGAAGGAGAACAGAGGGGGAGGGTGTGCAACGTTTAAATGAAAAAAAAAAAAAGTCCCCAAAGCTAAGCAACCTGGGTGTGCCTTAGAAGCAAGTCTAGGGGGTGCATGGGGGAGGGGAGACTGCGCTGAGGACAACACGGCGACAGCATCAGCGGCGGCGGCGGCTCCTCCCGGGCATCCAGGCCGTGCCGGGTGATGGGCTTAATAAAATGCCGGGTGTCGGCACGCTCAAAACGAAACCACAAATGATATCCCCGGCAGGCGCGACGCCGGGAGGAGGCAGCGAGGCGTGAGGTCTGCAGACCTGCGGCCGCGGCCCGCACCTGCCCGCCCCGCACCCACGCACACCTGCCGGGCAGCCATCGGGAGGCTCGGACAGGGGTGCGGCAGCGATGCGGGGGACCCCCGGCACCCCACGGTGGACTAGGATCCGATGGCCCGGGAGAGGGGGGAGGAGAAGGGGAGGACCCCGGGCAGCCTCTTCGCTCACCTCCAGGTCGGTGTCGGCGGCCTCCGGGGCCCCGAGGATCTCGCTGGGCAACTCGGCCAGGTCGGTGACCCGGATCAGCCCGTCGTGTAGGAAGATGGTCTCCTCCTTCACCGAGAGCCACTGTGCCGAGTCCGCTGCAGCCGCTGCCGCCGCCGCCGCGGCCGCCGACGAGCCCATGGCCCCGGCTAAGGGATGGCGCTGAGGAGCGGACGCCCGGCAAGCGAGACGCAAGCAGGGGCTGCCGCGGTCACCAGTCCATGGCAGCGCCCGTCCGCAGCGTCCCGCTGGCTGTCTCGCCCGCGCAGCTCCGCCCTAAGCGGTCCGTGCCGCCATCCCCCTCCCCAACCCCGGGCCCCGGAGACTCCGGCCCTGCCGCCGCCGCCGCCGCCGCCCTGAGGAGCAGGATCCGCCTCTGCCGCTCAGCAGCCAACTGTCAGGGAGACGCCATGTTGGGGGCGGGGCTCCCGGCATGCCCCGCGGAGCGGACAATACAGGCCCCGCCCCCAGTCCGCCTGGCCCCGCCCCCCTCCGCACCAGGCGCCGGCCTAGCAGAACCCCGGCTGGCTGCAGGTTCCATCCTGCCCTCCAGCTGACCTCCCCAGCTGCTTCTTCCAACCTAGCCATCCCGGGTCACCCTGGCTCTGCTGAGCACAAGACTCACCTCCATTCCCTCCCATTCAGGTGTGCATCCCCGGCTTGGTGAAACCTGAGCACGGTATGAAGGTGCACGCCCTGCTTTCACCTTTAAATGAGATACATGCAAAAGTCTGGGGCAGGGCTTGGGCGCACTTAGCTCAGTGGTAGAGAGTTTGTTTAGCAAGTGCAAGGCCGTGGGCTGCATTTTTTCCAGCACTGAAAGAAATTTAAAAATCCTATGCCTGCCTGGGCTACGCAGCAACACTCTGTCTCAAAATTAGTAAGTAAATAAATAAAAATAAAAATCTGCCGGGCGCCAGTGGCTCACCTTTGTAATCCTAGCTACTCAGGAGGCAGAGATCAAGAGGATCAAAGTTCGAAGCCAGCCCGGGCAAATAGTTCGCGAGACTCTATCTTGAAAAAACCTTCTTAAAACGGCTGGCAGACTGGCTCAAGGTGAAGGCCCTGAGTTCAAACTCCAGTACCAAAAAATAAGGGTCTGGTGAATTACAGGTTACTCTTTTTTTGGTTTGGTTTGGTTTGGTTTTGTCTTTTGATGGTACTGGGGCTTAAATTCATGGCCTTGTGCTTGCTCTCTTCCACTTGAGCCACAACCCTAACCCAACTCTTCTCTTTCCTCCAGCCCTTTTTTTGTGTGTGTTATGGGTATTTCCGAGATAGGGTCTCTTGCACTATTTCCCCGGGCTAGCTTTGAACCATGATCCTCCTGATTGATCTCTGCCTCCTGAGTTGCTAGGATTATAGACATGAGCCCCCGGCACCTGGCTTCTCTATCCTTTTAAATCTAGGCTGCCCACTGGTGGAAAGTAATAATCAGGCTGGGTGCAGGTGGCTCACACCTATAATCCTAAGTACTTCGGAAGTTGATATCAGGAGGATCACAGTTCAAAGCCAGCCAGGGCAAATAGCTGGGGAGACCTCTATCTCCAAAATAACCAGAGAAAAATGGACTGGAGGCGTGGTTTTGCAAGTGCAAACCCCAGTCAAAAAAAAAGGTCAGGTGCCAGTGACTCATACCTGTAATCTCAGCTACTCAGGAGGCAGAGATCAGGAGGATCACATATCAAAGTCAGTCCAGACAAATAGTTTTCGAGACCTACCTCAAAAAAACCCATCACAAAAAAAGGGCTGATGAAGTGGCTCAAAGGCCCTGAGTTCAAACCCCAGTACTGCAAAACATAAAAAATAAGGTCAATATTCAGGAAAGGAGGCTTGATAGGAAAGAATCAGGTTTATTCATGACTAGCAATCTTTTTCAAGAATTACTTGTATTAATGTATGCATGGATGGATGTATTAATTCATTTAGGCCAGTGGGATTTGAACTCAGGGCCTTGCACTTGTTAGGCAGGGGCTCTCCCACTTGAGCCATGTCCACAGCCAAGATGGGCAATCTTGAGAAGACAAAGGGGCTGTCACCTCAAAGCTTCATTTAGGGTCCTCAAGGCCACAAAGGACTTTTTTTTTGGTTTTGGTGGTACAGAAGTTTGAACTCAGGGTCTCATGCTTGCTAGACAGGTGCTTTACCACTTGGGCCACTCTACCAGCCCTACAAAAGACCTTTATAGGGTGGGAAAGGATCAGGGCAGAAAGTTCCTGTGGAATTAGAATTTGGTCCTGTCTTGGAGGACATCTCCTTTTTCTCTTCAGAACATTTCAGTGAACCTCAACCTCCTGTGACAAGCTCCTGTAGTTCTTTTTAAGACAGAAGTAATGACTAAGGAAGGGAATTACAAAGCTCATCAGATGTTCTGGGTTCTAAAATCTAAAGGAAGATTATTTAGAACCATTTAGGTAGGGCTTTCCTTCAGCATTTGGAATGCTGGGCTTAATGAAGGAGAGTGAAATCTTGTCATTTGCAAGGAAATGGATGGAACTAGAAAACATCATCTTAAGCGAAGTTAGCCAGGCTCAGAAAGCCAAAAATCGTATGTTCTCCCTCATAAGCAGACTTTAGATCTAAAACAAATGCAGTAGTATTCTTGGACATGTGTCACACGTTAAGGGGAGAACACATACTGGAGGAATAGGGAAAGGTAGGAAACCCAAAACTTGAAAGTGTTTGATGTGCTCATTGCAGAGGAGCTAATATAATAATCTTAAAATGACAGAGGTCACTATGGGAAGGTGACCAGGAAGTAGCGAAGAGGTCTGGTAGAGATGAACCAATTCAGGTTGTAATACACTTGTACATGGAACCAATGCTAGGAATCTCTCTATATAGCTATCCTTATCTCAAATTAGCAAAAATGCTATGTCTTTCTTATTATTGCTTATGTCTTCTCTTCAACCAAATTGGAGAAAAGGCAGAACAGGTTCTGCCTGGAAGCAAGGGGGATAGTGGGGAAAGGGAGGGGGGCAGGGGGCAGGGGGCAGAAATGGCCCAATGTATGCACATGTGAATAAATGAATTAAAAAAAAAGAATGCTGGGCTTAGCCAGGTGTGGTGCCTCATGCCTGTAATCCTAGCCACTCTGGAGATAGGGATTGGGAGGATCTCGGTTCAAGGCCAAACCCAGGCAAAAAGTGCTAGAGACATGATCTCAACCAATAAAAAGCTGGGTGTGGTGGTGTACTCCTATCATCCCAGCTATGCAGGAAGTGTAAATGGAGGTTCACTGTCCAGGCCTCACTGAGCATTAATGCAAGACCCTATTAGAAAAATACCTAAAGCAAAAAGGGGCATGGCTCAAGTGATAAGAGCACCTGCCTGGCAAGTGTAAGACCCTGAGTTCAAAATCCCAGTACTGTAAAAAAAAAGAAAAGAGAGAGAGAGGGAGAGAGAGAGAGAATGCTGAGCAAAAGGGAGGTGCCCTAAACTTTCAAAAGGGTGGAGGGACAAAGGTAGCTGGAAGTGAAAGACAACTCCAAAAGAACAGCCCTGTTGCACTTCCTTGGATTCATTTTAAGTTTTGATAAAACATATCCTCAATTTTTTTATAAGAGTAATTGGTGAAAAAAAAAATTCTGAGCTATGGGAATCCTTTTATTTTTTCCTTCATGCTAGTAATAGTATGGGTTGGTATAAACCCTAAGTTAAAAATCAATTTTCTTCAGAAATGTGAAGATATCCAGCAATAGGACAAAAATTTGATGCCCACCAGATTTTCATTCCAGACCAGGCATAGTGGTTCACATCTGTAATCCCTGCACTTGGGAGGCTGAGGCAGGAGGATTGAGAATTCCAGGCCAGTCTGAGCTACATAGTGAGTTCCAAGGCAGCCATCTTCCTGCCTCAGCCTCCAAAGTGCTGGAAATACAGGCAGATGCCACGGTGCCCTCCTAAGAGCTATGCTACCAGATATAGAAAATATTCCACAAGGACAAGGCTGTTCCTCCCTTATTCATTTGACAAATGTTTCCTGCTTCCTGCTGTGTGACATTGAGCTTGGTGTGTGGTTTCAAGGATGAGTAAGGCAGGAAAGTCAGGTCCCTCATGGACCTGACAGCCTCATGGGGGGACAGACAAGAAGCAAGGAAGCAATGCGTGGGGCAGATCAGAGCCACAACAGCTCTACAAGAGGCACGTGTGGTGCAGGGGGGTCTGGGCTGGAGCTCAGTGTCAGGGTACATGTGTAACACACACACACATACACGCACACACACACACGGTCCTGGTTCCACCCCCAGCACCAAAAACAAAAACGAAACAGAGATGATAGATTGGCAATTTCACCAAATGCTTGAAATGATGGTGTGAGACAAATGGTATTATTTTGTTATGGTTTGTATCTGAAATGTCTCCAAAGGCTCGTGTGTCCAATTCAGCAATGTCCACTGGTGGGTCTTTGAGGAAGTAGTTGGATCAGAGGGTTCCAACCCGGTCAGTAGATTAGTGGATTAGCTCATTGATGGGTCCACAATTTGACGTGCTATCGGGAGGTGACAGAAACTTAGGAGGTGGGACCTAGGTGAATGGAGTGGGTCCTTTGGGGCTACGTCTTGTCCCTTCCTCTGTCTTCTCTTTCTGGCCTCTCTGCCATACATTTCCACTGCCACCATGATGTTCTCACTCACCACAGACTTAAAAGCAATGGAGCCAGTGGTCCATGGACTGGAACCCCTGACACTGTGAGCCAGAATAGATCTTTCTTCTTTTAAGTTGATTTTTCATTTGCCACAGCAATGAAAAACTGTCTAACATATATTCCCACTTTCAGATGGGAAACCACAGCTAGTAAACAGACTTGGACTTGAAACCAAGATAGCCTGGTTCCACAACCCTAGCCTCCTTATTTTGACTGCAAGGAAACTCCTTCATTGCCTTTGCTCACAACTTCCAAACCTAAAGGCAAACATCCATGATTATTTAAAAATACTCAGATTTTAAACTTCAAATAACCAGCTTGGATAGCTCAGAGAAGATATCCCCTCCTCTGTTTTGTTTTTAAGACAGGTCTTGCTGTTATCCCAGGCAGGCCTCAACTTGTGATTCTTCTGTTGTTGCTTCCCAAGTGTTAGGATTATAGATGTGTACTACCACGCCCACTCCTCTTGCTCTTAACATTTCCATTTCAAGATCAGGAGTCGAAATGCCCAGAAACTATTGTCCTTCATGCTAATTAAGGAAAACAGTAGAGATCTGAGGCCTAAAAGTCTTAGACTGCATAATGAGTAGTTATTTAATATTTTATTAACAGTAATTAGTCATAGACTACATGACTGCCACCTTACCCTTATGAGGCAGCTGATGAATTAATATTTAT